AAGACTGATGTAGAAGAACTTTGCTTTTATACGGAGTATAGCAATTCGCTTATCTACTGGAGTGAATCTGGAGACGAGGTATTTTATTCTCCTGTTAACCATAAATCTGCAGCCAAATTCATGTCTCGTTTCATGACTGATATAATACAGTGCGTAGTAGTCAGATTTACTTACGTCTGTCCCTTTCCATCGCATTTCCTGTAAGGCAATAATATCGGCTTCTTGAGTACATCCGCCAAAGCGAAAACTGCGCCTGTTCTGTACAACGAGCGCACATTCTAAGTGCAGATTCGCAGATCGTGGTCCTTTATACGTTTGCGAGGGTCATCAACATTAGGGGGGTTGGTTTTCTTTTTTGTTGTTTTTTCATAGTAGAAGGGGTTTTCCGAGTATGGGCAACTAACCCGACGCCTCAACCCATTTGTTCAAAGTCAGTGTCCACAATTGACATGAAAGATAGACCAAGATAAGTCTGGGATTTGTCATGCCCTACGCCACCCAAGGGTTATGCCACCACTCCTCTTTTTTAGAGGACAATCATCTATTTTAAATGACTTTCCTCTACGAAATGCATGTCATCTACCTGCCATCTTTGGTCATCTATATTTTAAAACCTTGAAAATAAATAAAACAAATTGTCAATTCGTGTAGAAAATGTCTTGTACTGTTCAGACTCTAAAAGTATTTACTTATTGTTAATATTTCGACTACATGGGTATTACATTGGAAACATTTATATTTTGAGTTTTGGTTTCACAATTGGACCATAAAGGATTAATGTGACGTGCTACCTTTTTTAATTCGCAAAAGACGGACTCGTCTCGGCTCGTCGCATTTTTCTCAGTGGAAGTTAATTTTAATCCGCAGGGTATGCAGGGTGAGGAAGTTATGTGACAAACCAAAAAATGTGGTTTGGGCGCTATATTTCCAACATTCCTTTAATTTTTTTTAATTTAAATTTTATTTTATTTCAAATGCGCAATTTACATTAAATACCACAGTCGAACTTTACATTGTTAGAACATAACTTTTCTTTAGTTTGCTCTTGTTCACCAAACCATATGCCCACTTAATGGCCCACATTTAGTACAAATAAAATGTAGGCGAGAACCAAAGACAAAGAACAATACAAATAAAAATGATAACAACAATAACTATAAAACAAACTACAAAATGCAAAAACAAATACCCTTCAAAGCTATCAAAATGACTTACCGTTCTGCAATATTTTCACGAAAGGCCCAAGAGATTAGAAAGTGGTTAGCAAAAGTAGTCGGTAAAATTATATTAAATAATCTGCACATGAATTGACAAAACCGAAGTGCACGTGTGTCATGCAGACCATGAATATTGTTAAAGTGAATTTGTATGGCAGACATATAAATTAGTTGGCAGGTTATTGTCGGTGGATAAGACAGATGGGCGGTTGATATTCGAATTTATACCTATATTTTGGTAGTTATTTTTCTAATGTCATGGATTTTACTAAAATATCTGCCAAATTTGATATTGCAACTTTAATGAAATCCATATATTTATTTATAATCGAGTATTGTTTGATTTTTGTAATCCAAACATTATTCGAATAGTATTTTGGTCACTTAACCCGGAAATTTTAGCAAATTGTATTAAAAATAATGTCATTTACTGCCAAATAACCATTGAAAGACCTTTTGTCGATGACAACGGACATAATTAAATAATTCACGAAACAAATTCAAATATGAACTCAAAAATATGCCATTCACTCCCTTGACGAACTTGCGGTTCAAACCCATTTTTTGCCTTGCCTCAAAACCATTCAATTGAAATTTAGAGAAAAAATGTAATGAAATTACTAACATTTTAAAGTTTGAGTTGGGACTGGATGAGAATGACTACTTAATGAAGGTAATTCAATATAATGGCGGTTATGAATTGTTGTCAAAGCCTTGACTTGCCTTGCCTTACACCTTCCACTTTCTTGTCTATTGAAATTCACTGACCCATTTCGTACATTGTCTTTTTAATTAACACGTGCATAATTTTATTTCCCATTTTTGTTTTGACAATAAGAAAAATAAAACAGCACAAAATGGAAGGTACAGCAGCATCATCTTGTAAAAGAAGGGTATTTTTTGACTTATGACACTTCACCTCATCCCTTCCTCTTTGTCTTTTTTAACAATGAGATGTTTGTGTTGATTGTGACATGAAGAAAAAATGAAGTTAAAAGTACCCAATATTGTGGAATTCCGCAACACTTTGTGTATTTTGTATTTTTTTAAGGCTACACCACTTTGGTAAACTTGTCGTATTGAAGTGAAACGAAAGCGTTGTTATTCAGCTCAGGTTTTTTTGAAAGTGACAATTCTAGCTACTAACGAAAATAAATAAACTTGCCCGAAAGTATATCGAATATCGTATATTTTGATCAAAATTTATCTATGTTTTGAGGGGAATATTTCATTGGGCAACGTTCGGGCCATATCAGTTACCCCTTTCGAAAGTTATCGTAGCCATCTGCGGACCATGCATACGGACGGACATTTATAAATATATACCAAATTATCTGAAATGAATTTGTTCCAAAGGCGCTTGGGGTCTATACCCTAATTACTCTTAAGTCTGAAGGTTTCAACAGATCATCGCGGTGTTAAATTTTGCAGGGCTGTCACATTAAAAAGTCTTCATCTCGGTATAAAAATTCGGGAAAGATAATATAAAATGGCTTATAATCAAGGCTCAGACGAAATGGCTAAAGCTGGAATCTTAAAATTTTACATGAGTCAGTATTGGTACGTAGATGAACGTTAAGGCTGGATTTGGGGAAATTCGTAAACCTGACAATCAACACACAGACGAAACGACTGAAGCGAGAGTTCAGAATTTTTGTGTAAGTGTGTGCGTAGGTGTGTGACAAAACTGGGTTTTTGGAAATTCGTACTATAATGGTACGAAAAGTACTAAAATAATGTAATAATAAACACCCAGAAGAAACGGCTGAGGATAGAATCTTGAATGTTTGTATGTGTGAAGTTATAGGTACGAATGTGCGTGTTAATGCTGGGTTTCTGCAAATTCGTACAAAAAGTATTAAAAATGGTAGCACTGATAATGAGTGAACGAATAGTCCTATAACTCTGACATTTGAAGTTTGTGGTTTCTTGCCAAAGGGTTGTTTGTAAACCCGTGCCAAAAGTGTACAAAATGTACTAACAAGTATCATACCAATTATTATTGATATTGGATGAACCGATAAACCTAGAATATGAAATAGTATTCATTTGAGCACGAAACTGTAAATTGTACTAAATTTAGTAAAATTGATATTTATTACCTACATTGAGCTAGAATATTGAAATTTGGTATGGTAATCGCTACATTAGTGTGTGTTATACTAGGTGGATTTGAAAATTAATACTAAATTTGTTGTTCTCTAGGTTTGAGAAAAGTAGATGTATTTTGGAAATTCGTAACTGTACGATAATTTATTAATTGTTCTAACATTATTCATTGTACACTTAAAATTTGAATATAGGTTAAATCTTGAAATTTGGTATATCGGTCTTTATTAGGTTATGTCATTGGCTGTTAGTGCAATTTGGTATGAGGATCACTGTGACACAAAATGGAGCTCATTTTCAGGCGGCTCTCTAAAAGCTCTTGGCGAGTATATTAGGTTCCCAGAAGGACAAATTCGCATTTGTCAAGTTTTTGACTTATGTAAAGTCCTCTTTTTTAGAGAACAATCATCTATTTTAACTGATTGAAGTCTAAATTTTCGTATGATGTTAGTATTAGTTTCTACCAACAAATTGTATATGGTTGTTGATTATGATTGTTGTACAACAACACTTGCTGTTACTTTATGTCATTACTAGCTGCGCCTGGCAAACATTGCTTTGCTTTAACAATTTTGTTTTCACTGCAAGTCTGGTTCCGTTGCAAAGTCATTTCCGATTTATATTTCAAGGAAGAATAAAAGGTGCACTAATATTGTTCAAATATTAACATAGCAAATATTGTTCAAATATCTATTACTGAAGTAGAATATTGCGCCATGTGTCAGAAAAACTTCACTTTACACAGAAACACTCCTCACGCCCCATAGATCAGGTTTTATGTACCTGATCTGCTATGGTCCAAATCGGTGCAGTAGTTCTTGATATTGCCCCATCTATATTAACTCTACGAACACTAATTAATTTCGAATAAATACTGAAGAACTATAAAAATACTGAAGAACTATAAAAATATCTATATATGTCATAGACGCTAATTAAATGTTATTTATCCTCACAGACAAAACCTTTGTATTTGGTACAGATACTCGTATATGTCACATACAAAAAAAGATAGACTAGTAGTTATTTTTGAGTATATACAGTCGAAATCGTTTATAACGACGGTCAAGAAATCCACTATAGTTGTAATAAGCCTCTCGACCTTTCAAGCAAATTAAATATAGCTCTCACTTATATGTTTGTTTGATCGCTTTTCCATTATTCCTATAATATGATATAAATAATGAGCGAATAAGTATGCCTTTTTTCGATCAATATTAAATTTTGAACAAAGCAATTTTGATTTCTTTTATTTTTCCACATATAACCAACATCAGCGAATATGCAGCTTTTTTAGAATCCTTTAAAATTTTTACCCGTAATATTGCAATTATTTCACTCTTACAAAAGCCACAATTTTGCCCAATTAAAATTGTTGGTAATATTTATTTTAATTTGTTTAAAAAATTTAGCAATCCTTATAAACTTTTTCCCCTTTTCCCCCTATTTATGTTTCTCATGACAAATGATATGCATAACAAGAAAATTTTCCCAATTTGTTTTCCTCCATTATGTTGGCAAAACTTTGACATTCTTCATCCTTCTCTCAAAGGAATGGAAATATTTTTGATTAGGTAATTTACCAATTGTCATCTTATTACTGCCATTGTGCTAACAACAATTAGGAAGGAACCTCGAAATTCACAAACTCTTCTTCTTTTCTTTACTTTTCAGCTTCAACGGATGCCAAACATTTGCCAACTTTACAATCGTCGTCATCAACGCCCTCGCTATCGTCGCTTCATTCGAACACAACACAAATCGGAGGTGGTGGTGCTGCTGCAGCTTACCCCGGCACTCCAACCCATTCCACGGAAACCCAATCAACCGTTATAATTTCATTTAAATCATCCCAAACACCTGTTCTATCTCAAACACAGCTACCAGGTGTCAATGCACCGCCCACGCCCCCCGACGAAACCTTTTCCCACGACTTGCCACCAACAACGCCACTGAACAATAACGATAATGCCGAGCCAACAATGCCACCGACAGTGTCTCTATCGAGTAGCATTATTGGGGCAACAAGCCAAATGGGATCGCCTCTACCGCCGTGCACACCACGCAACAATGTCCTCAAGAAAGTGGCCTCGTTTACGGCGGAAAAGGCTGCGGCTGGCAGTGCCAGTAAAATCAATAATGGCGATAGCTGTTGCGGCATGGCGGGTCCATACGAAAGTAACGGCTTGAGACGTTCATCATTTGTGCCCGAGAAGTTAAGCTTCGCTGCATATGAAAAGTTTGAAGGTAAGTGACGTATCTATACTACCATATCCCGATCCTCAACCTCATCCCCTCCCTCACCTTCATGCCAGCCAATGTAGTGAAAATGTAACATGGCACCCACTACGAAGTTAACACCAACAAAAAGAAGAAAAGCAACAAAAACACTAACTTTAAAACTTCGCTTGTCTTGTTAGAGACATTTGGGTCGATAGCTGATGGCAGGCGAGATGTTAACATTACCAACACCACCAACAAAGCGTCAATTGATTTGAAATAAAGTTGTTATACTAAGGATCTAATATGAGATGGAGTTGAATTTAGAAATATTTTCTCAAAAGGCCTTTTGATAAGAAGATACGAAGTATATTAAAAATATTCTATATAAACGAACTGATTTTCTGACAAAAATATCCTGTTGTCCCTCCTGATTTATTCATATATGCTTCCAAGCCTAATCTGGCTAAAGTCTATGTTTGTAGTCAAATTCGAAAGCCCCATATAATTAATTTTCCAATTTTCGATCTTTTGAACAATTTCAAAGTATTTTTGCGTATCTAACTAATGAGGAACAAAAAAAATATAATATTTGACAATGAAGGTACAGCAAGAAAAAAATTTTGAACATATGAGTGTCTCGTGCACTCATACCATACTTGCTTCTTATACCATGATAGAAATGATACCTTCGGTATTTAGAATACCATTAAAAGGCATTTGGAATACCTATATAAAACCATTTTTTAAAAGGTCTTCTCCATATAGAAGGCCTTTTAGAGGAGTTCTGTCTATAGCCTCCTCTATATAGATAACCTTTAAATATCGTCTGTCTGTAGATATTTTCAAAGATATTTTGTCTTACAAAGGTCTTTTGAGAAGGTCATCTATAGACAAAATACCTTTAAAAAACAATACTTTACAAAATTTTGCTTGAAATTAGTACCACGCTGAAAATTCAAAATAGTATTCACAAAAATGTACGCAGATTTCTTCGAATCATAGGCGCTGTACCTAAACTGTTTGAGCTTTTGATATATGGCAGATTAAAACATTTCACAAAATCGATAATTTCGCCTCTTCAACAACTACAAACCTTTTGGAACTCATTAATGGTCTGCACGTGGGTTTTAGTAAAAAATTGCAGACTGATGTTATATACACCGATTTCAGCAAGACATTTGATACGCTAGTACACAAGATCTTGATTTAAACTTAATTTAAATTCCTATTAGTTTTTAAAAGTGTATATCTAACTACTTAGAATGTCGTTCGCAGAAAGTGTTACTAAATGGGTGATTATCCAGGGATATTAATCTTTTATCAGGAGTCCCACAAGGTAGTCACATAGGACATCTTATTTTTATTCTATACATCAATGACCTTCCTTCCGTTATCCGCTTTTCAAAAATACTAATGTCTGTTCATGATGTTAATAGAGTTGGGCAATCTTCCATGAGCAGTTCGATCCTTTTCGTTACGGTCCGCAAAAAGAATTAGATCGTTTCTATAGTTCATTTTACCTCACTCATTCACTGGTACCCCACAGTTCGTTCGTTCAATACTGTCGTTCAAGCTTCTTTTTTTTTTTGATTGAACGTTTGCTACAACGTTTAACAATTACATGGAATATTTCATCCATAAATAAAAGAAAGAGACAACTAATGTTAGATTAATTCACATATATATGAGTTGGTGGAAAGAAATAAACAACGGGAGCAAGAAGAACTGGGAACACAAGAGCAATAAGGAACGACGGATCAAAAGGAACTAGGTCATGATGCAATAATAAGGTGATGTATCTAAACAAAAAAAAAATGTTTTTGTCTGGACCATCTGTTAAATGTGTCCATGGTTGGCAACATTGCACATCGAATTCAAGCAGATATTACACACTTTTACTGTTAAATGGGCTACCTATTTATTGTGCCAAGGAACTAGGTTAACGAGAACAAAGAGGAACGATCGAGCTAAAGGAACTAGGTAAACGAGAGCAAGAAGGAACGACTGGAGCAAAAGAAACTAGGTGAACGAAAGATTCGGACTTAGTTCCGATCGTTCCTGATTCGTAATAGATTCTTTGAAGAAGTTCGTTCCGGAACGACACGACTCTTTATGTTAAGCTTTTCCGGCATAGAATGAATTTTCAAGCCATTCCAATCTTTGACATTCTTTGGCTAACGGGTGTAGCGCTCGTGGAATGTCTTTAAATCATAAAAAATGTTAGAAACTATCATCACTTCATACTATCAAAGTTGGAAAATATTTCGTCTTTCGTTGATGTAGGAGTAATATTAGACCCTAAACTTAGGTTTAATCGCAATAAAAAGTCTTGCATTAATAAAACCAAATCTTTATGAGGATTCATTAAGCGCTGGTCCAAAGAAGTTTAATGATCCTCACGTGACAAAACGCCTATTTATTACTTTAGTTCGCCCAGTACTAGAATATGGTTGTATTTTGTGTAGTCCCTCCTACAAGTGTTATTCTGATAAAATAGAATCTGTTCAAACTCAATTTCTTTCCTTTGGTTTGCGAGGTCTCCAATGGGACCGAACTGTAAGGCTCTCCCATATGAAATTCGATTATTGTTAATTACGAAGCTAGTAGTCCAATGCGAACATTGTGTGAAATATTTAACAATATATATAGTAGCATATCGCTAACTGAACCTTTACACTTAATAAAAAATTACGTTTACATAAGTAGCAGAGTGCAAAAGTAGTTTTGAGTCCTCCTGTAATTTCTTTTAATTATATATGTATGCGTATATATTTATAGTAGCCTTTGCGGCTGATAAAATATATTGCCTGTCATCCTACCATTTACTAATCCTTCTATGGGGTTCGCGCTCCCTTCGATACAGGGAGGTCGGCTAGGGCGGGTATGAGTGGCCAGGGACCGAGCGATTCAAAAAAACATCTATGGAAAGAACACCTTTTAAGATCATCTATAGACACGATAACTTTTATAGACTTTTAAAATACTTGAAATGTCTATATAAAATCTTACTAAATTCTACCAAATACATTATAAAGAACTTGTGTGTACAGACCTTTTAAATGTCTTGTATATATATCATGTCCTTATAATACCCCTTGAAGTTATCCAGTTCACAGAATACCACTCTGTCTACATTCATTCATTTTTTGGCGACCTGTTGAAAGGTGTATGTTTGCAGAACATCCTTGAACTTTAAAATTAACTTTTGAAAATTTCCTAAAGGCCATCGATGTGGCCCGCCATTTTTAATTACCTATCCCTTCATGTATAGTGTCACTTGATGTTAGTGTGCGTACAAGTGCATGTAGTACTTTGTAATGCCTTCAAATCGCATTTGCCAAAACACAAACGAAAACAAAAGAAAGAATAGGAAAATAAAATGAAACGAAAACTCAGTTTTTGTAGTCAAAAATCAGTTAGAATAAAATACGAGTCAGTGAACAAGATGTTTGTTCTTCGTGTCCATGGCCATGTAAAGCAAGAAGCGACGAATATATTCAGTTCTCTCTGGCCATTGTTTTCGTAGTTCCTTTTTTTTAAACGCCCGCCTTCCCTTCTGTCGGTCCGAATTACTTTTATTTTCACTTGTTAGGAAACTTCCTATTTTGTTTTTTTTTTTGTGTTTTTCATTGTTCGTATTTATTTCTTATTGTTTCATTAAGTTTCTTGGCAAGTGGTCGACTTGTTCTTGGCCACGAAAGGCAGTTGAGCATAGCATTTTTTGTGTGGATTTAATTAAACATAACGCATCAATTAATTTTAACAAGGAATGTAAACAGCCATTCCCAAAATGGTAAAGGACAAGGTCAACATTGTGTTTTTTGTGTTTACAATTTTAATTTTTGTTTTTTTTTTAGTTGTTCAATCCTTTATTGTCGGAATTGTTTTTTGAAAGGTCAGCCATGGTACATTTGTACCATAACATATTTTTGGGAATTACTTAGAATGATTTGTGTAAGAAGATAATGATAACTGTATGTGTATGAGAACATTTTAGTTTACGGTAATGGTTTTGAAGTTGAAAACGCTGTTCATTAACTATTGGCTAAAATAAATTACAGCTTCTTCGGATGGAAACTTAGATTCCAAATAACGTATATCGGACGTTAACATTAACAAGAGGTTATGTTAAAATGAGAAGAATCAGAAATGTGATGTTGGGTTAGATAAGCGCTAGAAACTGTACAATGAATTGCAAAATCATGAGGATTCTTTTATGTGGTCTACGACATAACATACACCGAAATTGTCTACTAAGTAAGGCGACCAGATTTTGAAAATTAAAATAGATGACAAATATATATATTTTGCAGCGGGTTTTAGTGTGTGACTTGAATATTTTTCCAATTTAAATGAAACACACCAAGGTTTTCTACATAAAACGTTATAATATTTTATTAAAGCAATAATCTTACATTTGTTGACAATTATTCCATATGCCTCAGACATGAATACAAGGGACTGCCATCGCTTTCACCAAGTATTCTATGTAATTAGCTTTGGAAGAATAAGTCAACCGGCCACATTATCATGTTTCCAAGAAGACTTACTTCTTACCGTATGGATTGTCTATAAGAGAATCAAGGTCTGTTGTGTAAAACCATTGTCCTTTTATAGCGATCCAAACAAAGCTTTCAAAAGTATTGATCGAATATAATTCAAATTAACTCAATATCTTAACTGACAAACAAAAGCTTTTCTTTACGTTAGCAAACTAAAGGATAAAAGAGACAACATAAACAACGTTAAACTAACACTCAATCAGTGATCAATAGTCACTCAATAACTGTTGCGTTTGTTCGTTCACTCAATTTGTTTTGAATATTCGTTACAAACAATAAATATTTACGCAGTGCAGAGGTTCAAAGTCTAAACTAAATAATGTTGCACAGTGAATCAAAACAAAACAACAAGGATTAACGATAGGATAATAATGACTTATACTAATGTTTTTTCTTCTTATGAATATTTTATGGAGAAATAATAAAATATCTTGCTACAATTTTATATATTTATATATATTTTTAATAAAATTTAATAAAATATATTTTTAATAAAAATAATGGTATGTGTTCAAAAAGGAGTAAAATGAGTTAAAAAGTTGTTAAGTATCAAATTTACGGCAAAATTTTTCAATGCGAATAATCTTGGAACATAGCAAAGAAGTAGACCTATGTCGGCTATTTTGCAAAATTAAGAAAAAAATAAAAGGTTTCTTTATATTGAGGACATGTAGAAACATAAAACCCAAAATATCAAAATACAACCTATTCGGATTCA